TCCAGAGAACAAGAGCTGCAAGGAGGTGGCATCCCTTCCTTCTCAAGGATACTGAGGCCAGGCTGCCAGTGGACAGAGAACTTCCCACCCTGGTCAGAAAGATCTGTTCTCCAGCTCCCAGTTGCTGCACGACTGCAAATTAGGGAAAAGGGTACACAGGCCCTTGCCAGGGGCCAAAGGACTCAGGGCTGCAAGCTACTTGTAACACTTCTGTGCAAGCAGGAAGAATGAACTGGGACCATGGGATATCAAGAGTGTAATTACTTCTAGCAGTGGTGGTGAACCTATGGTACTCATGCAACAGTGGGAACACAGAGCCCTGCTGGTGCACAAGCCAAGTCGCCCTAGCATTGCCCCAGCAGCTGAGCATCAGATAACAGCGCAGATAGGGGCCATGCGCATGCTCGGAAAGGAGTAGCAGTGCCAGGTGGTGATGTCATGAGCCACAACTCATTAGCCACGATTCATATGAGCTTTCGCATGGCCGGTCAATGCGCTGCCAAGGATATTTTCTCGGACTGGCTGTGAGTTGTTTTTTCTAAACCAAAACCTCAGTTTTCAGGTTTTATTGCAGTGTTGGCACTTTGCAATAAACAAGTGGGTTTTGGGTTGCAGTTTGGGCATTCGGTCTCGAAAAGGTTCACCATCAATGGGTTAGGGTTAGAAAAATGAGATGTCCTGGCATGATTTTGATGGTTGGAATGTGTTTAGAAAGGGCAGAAATGATGAGCTGTGCAGAAAGGAGGTGGAATGACTAGCTAGTAAATGTTAAATCTCTAGAGCAGTGGTCCCCAAACTTTTTTGGGCTGCCGCTGTTGTTAGGCATTCCCTCCCAAGCAAGACAGACTCTCCAGTACTTCTTGTAAGCATCCTTATTCTACATAGAAGGATCTAAGCATACAGAAGCCTCTGAGCATACAGAATGAGATGTTGAACCCTCTCTGTCCCCCTTTTCCCAAAGCTTTGCTTATGAACCCTTCAGGGCCTGTCTCTGGAAGGAGGGGCACTGCAGAACTGTGCTCACATCCGGTCTGCACTCTAAGCCCCTAATTGGTCCAACCTGCAGCTGTGTCGGCGGGCCCTTGGGTCCATATCTTCAGGACAATTTCACATTGTTTTGAAAAGAACAGACAAAAAATACAATAATGCATTCTTTAGATATCTGTGCCAAGAATTTAACCCTTTTTTAAAAAAACAAAACTAAAATGCATAATTTTGGTAAGCAAATGTTTCAGCAGGCATACTATTCTGTAACAAATCCTATTTCAAGAAAGACAAACATTTGTATTCTTGAACATTGGTGGTATTTCACACATGGTCTCTAGGAATCTCCTTGGGAGAGGTAAATGATTATGAAAAACTGACTGTTTTAAATGTAATGAATCCCCTAAGTAGGCTATGTACACTAACATTTGCTACCATAACTCTATATTTCAGATTTTGTTTAAAAAACCTGTGTTAAACTTTTGGCATAAATATCTAAAGCACACCTGATTGTATTTTCATCTGTTGTTCTTTGAAGCCACCACAAAACACTCTGGTAGCAAAGATTTATAATGCCACCTTGGTGTTTTTTCTCATTTGTATGCCTTCATGTGTCTGCTGCACTGAACTTCTCCCCAGTATAAGGTGGAATATTAGACGCATACAGGTGTAACATACCACATAAAGTGTTAATATTGCCTTTGAAAAACAGATCACTAGCGTTTAGGACAACAGTCATTTCTCTCATTGTTAATATCTACACACACTAGAAGAACTGAAAAATGGTTTTTGAAAACAAAAAACTTACCAGCTGCACAAGTGTTCCAAAGCTTTCATGTCATAAGAGTCTGTCTTATACATTAGACAACCATATAAAAAGGCTTAGGGGTAGTTTAACAAAAAGAAATAGAAAATGAATATCCAGGTGGCGTTTTAAGGAGAATATAATAAATAGCAGGGTTTAGAGAAATATAGAAATAAGAAAACAAGTTGAAAATTCCAGTAGAAGAATTACTCTTAAGAACACAAAGAATTGGGGAAGGTGAAATCCAAGTATTTTATTTGAAAATGTAGGTGAGAGAACTGCTCAGCCTGGCTCTTTCACCCCCACTTCTCCCCACATACCAGCACCACATAAGGCAAACTGCCTATAGCTTCACATGCCATTCTGTTTAAAGAGCTTAGAATGTTTTAAAATGAAAGAATGCTGTGGCTAACTTGAGTATTTTTTTCTTGGTTGCCCCTTGACTGGCTGAGGCCACAGACCAGAGCTTGCTGAAACTGGGATTATGTACAAATGCTTGTGCTGGGGGCTTGTGTGTATTTCTTGGCATTGTACTGCCCGAGAGGATGTTTTGGCCCCGTCACGCTGTTTGCATGAGTGTGTGAGCTGCAGTGTGTGATCAAGCAACAGGACCTTGCACAGTTGGCCTGTCCGTGTTCCTATCAGTGCTCTGTTGCCAGGGCATCTTTTACTAGTGATCTGTGGGAGATATTGTTTGTACACTGCCATTTCACGCCTGCCCAAGGGAGGAACTTGGCACCAGCTACATCAAATATGGAAGCCTCTTTGAACCAGCAGGCAAGGAGACACAAGTAGAATCCTACTGAAACCTTACAGGTTTCTTGCTCATCTGAGCAGCTCTCTAGCTGAAAAATTCAGAGGCGTGCACTAGATAATCCCCAAATTACTTGCCACCAGCTGCAGATACTGGTTATCAGTTGTTATGTGCCATGAGATGATCTCCATCTTATGCTGACCCTATGAATGAGCGCCTTCCAAATTATCCTGCCTTGAAAGACCTGCTCAGCTCTTACAAACTCAAGACTGTGCCTTTCTTTATTGAACTGATCCATCCCCCATTTGGTCCCCCCTTCTTCCTCCTTTAACTTTCCATAACATTCTCCGGTAGGTCATGCCTTCTCATGAAGTGGACTTGGTGTCAGAGACACATGTGTCAAATGCAAGCACAAGCAAAGTGTGATGCAGAAGCCTGCTACTTCACTGGCACAGTGGTTTGGTTTTGTTGCTGATGGTTGCTTTTGATGCTCTGCAGATCCTCCAAAACATTCCACATACACTGCCTCCCTGTTTCATGCTGTCCTAAAGATGGCATTCCTTTAGGACAGCATACACAAACCTCCTCTTTATTCACTGCATCCTCACAACAACCTTGTGAAATAGGTTAGGCCGAAATACTATTACTGACCCAGTGAATTTCAGGGCTGAATGGAGATACGAACCTGTGTCCTTCCCGTCCTAGTCTGACAGCTAATCATCATGCAACACTAGTTTCTCATGGTAATGATGTTAACAGTGCAGTCCATTTCTTAGTCGTACCAAAGAATCTACTCCAGAGCATGGAGAAAGAACACGACTGAGTGTTTCTAGGTTTCCTTTGGATTACTCTGTTTGTACCAACTGAAGCAAGCACATGGGCACTTTGCTTGCTACAGGCAGATAAAATTATTCCAATTTCTGATAGGGTCACATTATCTGGCTAATAAAAAGAATCACCTAGTGGCATTTTCCCCATAGAGAACAATTAGATTGAGCTCTGCAAAATTCAGCATTATAGTGGGTTTGGTGGGGTGTTGTTTAGCAGTCTGGCTTCCATCACAACAATCCCAGCAACTTAAGGAAAGGAACAATATTAGGAAATACAAACTTCCTAAGGTTTCTGGAGATGTGTGAATATTGCATTTGTGTAGGATATATATCTTTGCCATCTTGTAACTTCATTGCTGTGCCACACAGAAAAATGCTATGTGCCTTCAGTTAGAAAAGAGAGACACTATTGTAGACATGCTTCTTAAGGAAACAAAAATATCAGCACTCATGAAAAACGCAATTAGAAAAAGTTTTGTGAGCACACTTGCATTTGCATGGATAATAGAAAGGTTCTTTAGTTGAAGCAACATACACATTAAGTCAGAACCATCATGACACAATAAAAAGCTTTTTTTCCAACAGCTCATTTAAAATGTATGCAGAGCAACCCAATAAAAGCACCCTCAGAAGCCAATATCCTTGCTTTACTTAAGAAAATATAACAAACCATCTATTAACATACCCAGTTTTAATTTACTGTACCCACACGGTTCTCCCCTTTTTCGTGTTCCCAACAACCTAAAGTTAAGAGGATTTCCATCTGTGTAATAGGGGACAGCTTTATTTTTGACCACTGAAACATTCCTGGATTATACTCAACCCTAATACGTTGTACAAGTCCCACTAATTTCAATAAAAATTCAGTCATGACTAGCATATCTCATGGGATCCAAATTCAACTAACTGGATACCACACAGTTAGGACAAAAAAGTGAACCAGTTTGTCCATGACTGGACAATTTAGTTGGGCAGGCAACATAATCATTAAAAGGGCTGATCAGTTTAGACCTGGTCTACACATGCGAGCTAGTAAGGCAGAAGTGAGATGGTAGAATGGACTACATGCCTTCAGGTGGCAGACAGCATTTAAATGCTGGCACCCACCTCCACCCAGGAGAAATGGAAAACTAATAAGCAGAGAGAGAAACCCAAACCTGAACACAACATTCTGTGGGGAGCACTTACCACTTCCACTTCACTTGCAAATGAGTGCAGCCTGTTCTCACCTGTCCCCTTTGCATTAATCTCATTTGTCTTTCTGCTGGGTTCTTAATCCTCAAATGTAAACAAACAACAGAAGGAAACAGTAAATGATTGGGTAAACTAAAGGTCTTGTGTCCTTCTCATAAAAGGATACATATTTACATAGGCAGCTACTATTCTGTTCAAACCTTGGCAGAGTATTGAAGGTTCTGACCTGCCTGTGCTGTATCCGGTGCTAAGTTTCAAAAAGAACATGTTTCCCTATGGCAAAAATATGGTTTAATTCTAAATACTGGATCATTCAATCATAGTACTTGCTTAAAGGCGATAGTGGTAATGACTAATATAATATAGACATGTTTATTAAGTTGTAGTTCTATGTAAAGTCTTGTGTGATTTACAAAAGTAAATTTTCTCAAGCTACATGATGTCAATAATTTATTGATAAGGTTGTATTTCAGGCACATAATAAGTAGGTGAATTGATGACAACTTCAAGTATTGCTCTGAATTCAACAGTATAAAAGATTAACATTTGCTTTACAATGACAAAACAGCAAAAATACAATAAAGATAAACCATGAAAACACAGTTCTCAAAACCATGCAGTACAATTTGAAGAAGCTGACAATTTTAAGTCTGCTTTACCTTTAGCCAAAGCCTGGTTTCAATTAATTCATCTTTTAAAAATATCCCCATGCTATGCAAATAAACTAATGAATGATCCACATAGTTCCTGCTTGCATGCAGAGTGCACCATTGCTTTGGAGAGAACACACAGCACTGACTTATGCAAAGTTCCATGCACACCCAAGCTTTTGGATTGTCTTATTAAAACAAGGAGGTCAGGAGTCATTGCATCCAAGCTAGCAATATGGTATTGTCCTCTTTAAGCACAAATAAGAACTATTAATATTATGCAGATTAATAGTTATTACCAGTAAAAACACAATGTGTAAAGCTGTATTTTAGGTGGCAGTTACTGGTAATGGGGCAGCACTGATATCAGAGATTCTCTAGCATGTTACAACATTTGATACCTACAGGCAAATGCTTCCTTGCTCTCAATAGAACCATTGCATGAACAGACTCTAGCGTACAAGAAAATATATTTCTAATGAAATACTTTATATCCTCTTGTACAAAAAAACTAAACATTGGTAGATACCAGGCACTCGAGTTCTAGCTTTCAATGTATTCTCTGGAAATCTGATACTTAGAACATAACAATTACAAGAACCAATGATTTATTCAAAGTGGTATTTTAAAAATGTAACATTTTACCTGAAAAAAACAGTTCAGTATTTTCCATGCAAGTAAATGGTACTGAAACACAATCATACTTAACTCACCAAAAACAGTAAAACCTGAGAAACTCAAGATTGTGTATGTTCTGTGCCAGCTCTATAGGATGCATCAAACTAGCAAATGTTTCCAAGAGAGGACATTTTGGTTGTTGGCACTTCCCTTGTATTATACAATTTAAAAACAGAAATGCAATGAACCAAAAAAGCCAACCATCTATTTAGACTACATTTGCAAAGACCTCGTAGTTTATCTGTATCTAAACTAAAATATTTACATGGAATGTTGAGTTTATAAAGCTAATGTTTCAAATCACGGACACCTACGGATCTGTTTAATAAATGATCACATTGACAAGAAATTCAAAAAATTAATATCCCCCTTCACCTCTTTCCATAAATATATATAGTCTCACTAAATTCTTTTGCCTTTAAATAAGACAGCTAACTCTTTATACATTAACATAAAATAACTGGCTTCCTGTTTGCATGCCAGAGCTGTGATGCATTACTATTTCATGCTATTGGTAAGACAAATTCACTTATACACAACATGTATATCTCTTTTACCTATTAATATACTTTGTCTCAGGAGGAAATCAAGAAAAAGCAAACAACATGTTTTTAGAAAACACAATTTGAGGTTTCAATTTTATGTGACCAGTGTAAAATGAGAATGCTCCTCAAATGTTAATTACAAGTTTTCAATTTTTAAAAATAGTTTCTGGGTTTTTCAAAGGCTTTTTTAGAAAGATATATTTAAAATAATGAAGCACTTATATAAATAAAATCAATTTACACAACTGCCTTTATCACCAAGGCTACTCCTACCACCCTGTTATCTTAATGACTTTCATAAAAATTACTCTAACCTATCCAAGCTTTGATGTTTCAATTAAAAGCCTTATATTTCTTTGACTCTTACCAAAGAGTAATCTACAAATACTCAAGATATAGAATATTATTGCTTAGTGAAAATACCCAAGAATGTTTTCCCACCAAACTAAGGTATATTTGTTGTTCTTGCAAAGACAGTCTGAATGTGGAAGACAAGTTTATACTCCACTTACAGAAAATCCTGACTGAGTATAATTCAAATACATATTCTAGTTGACAAAATGTTTACCTTGCCCAATTTTCAGTTTTTTCAAATGATGACCCTTAGACCGGATATAACAAAATTTGTGGCTACTTCAACACTCATCTCAGAACTGAAGATCTATCAGCAATTCTCTTATAGGAAATCTCACACAGCAAATCTTACCCATTTTACAAATGGTTTGTATCACACGAGGTGAGGATGCACTTTAAAAATCAGCAAACTCAACTGGTTAAAAATAGGGTGAGATTGTGATCTTCTGCTTCCACAATCCTCTTTCCAAACAGGAAGGTTTACACACGCACACATTAAGATCAACATTCCACTGCACTGAGTTTGTAAAGGCATCAGTTTGCCAAAGCTAGGAAAACTTCCCAACATGCCCATTTAGATCCAACTAAGTACCATATTAAAACATTATGAAACATTTTATTTATTTAGTGTTATGAATGCACCCAACTGACTGGAACCCAAAAGGCTTCTTTTTCCAGTTTGTCAAAGGTTGTTTTCAACTCATTGTACGCTGTAGTAAGATCATCATTTACTATAACTTTGTCAAAAAGATGGCTGTATTGGCTTTCCATCATCTGTGCAGATTTAATCATTTCTTGAAAGTCTTCTTCCTAAGACAAGAGTAAAAGCAAATCAATCCACTTAACTGCTTGAACACAAAGCATTTCCACTTGCTTAGGGGGAAGCTGACAATCTGACATATTTGCCCCTGCTATTTTTCAATAGCACAGATGTGGGATTGGTGCTCCACCACCCCAACAGCTGGACTTCTGCTGTAGAATCGCCACACCAAGGTCTATATTTAGCTAACAGACCATTAAAAAGTGTTTTCTTCTTACTTCAAAACTTACTGTTTACTTCAAAATTTGCTGTTTACTTCAAAATTTACATAATCCCAAATTTCAAATTATTTTTAACAGGCTTGAAAGCTTTATTTTGCCTAGCTTCCATATAGTTGCCTTTTTCTTCGTATCAGCATCATTAACCAGTAACTGATAATTAAAGAAATGTCTGTGTGCTAGGAACAGCACTGGAAAATGTTTTTAAGCTGTTTACACTAATGATGTACTGACAAACTGCATTACCTAAGACCCAGCCTGCTATTAGCAAGGGATTTACTAGAACACAGTCTGTATTTTTAAAGTTTGGTAAGAATCCAAAGAATTGCTCCTTTTGGATTCCTGGGTCTTACTAGGGCCCATTCAGTAAGTTTATGTTCATGTTTTTGGAAACATAGAATGTAAGTATATAAAATTAAGAAGCAAATCCTAAGAGGAACATGTTTGCAAGACTGCATTATGCTTTTCCAGGTTAAGAAAGTACTGTACTTGTGCATTAAAAAGTCTCACCAACCTAAACATTCCAGAAATGTTTGTTTAGATAATCAAAATTTACAAAAAGAATGGTGAGAAATACATTTGCAATGCCCATAATTAGTATCCTTGATGGGCATTCATGGGACATTATCACAGGTTCCACATATTCCAAGCAGGGAGGTCCCAATGGAGGTTGCTCATCTCTCAAGGACACATCACAATGGTCACCACAGGCACCATCCTGCAATACCCCCTTTCCCCCATTCAACATGCACTTCAGGCTGCCGGCCATTCAGGCGGGTGCATCAATACAGTTAATGCACACGGTTTTCCTTTCGTTGTTACCTAAACTTACTCCCATAGTCTTGTGACATTTTTAGTATCTGGCTCCTGGAGAGTAACCAAAAAACCAAACAAACATGAAAGGTTTCCTCTAGGAGGAAAGGTTACAACATCTGGGATTGTTTAGCTTAGGACAATGGTGACAGAAGTATGTGAAATTATGCATGCCATGGAAAAAGGTTAGAAAGACACCCCCCCATTAATTAATTAATTCCAAGGGGGTGCATCTATCTTCCCTGAAAGTTACAGTAACAACACAATATTCTACTTTGTGAGAATTACTTACTTGAAAAGGTTTAGCAGCACCTTTTTCATCCTTGCTTGAAATTATCTTGGCATTTTTTCGTGTCTCTCGTAAACGTTCAATTGATGGAGGTTTTATAAATATGACAAATGGTTTAAATTCTAATGTCCTTAAATGCTTCACTGTCTGGCAAGAAGAAATACTAAGTTATGACCAGCTTGTTTTAAAATGTATTTACTATGAATAAGACAAGTCATCCACCACTCCCTAACTTCTATCGGGAACTTCCCTGTATTTTTCTCCCTGATCCCCCAAAGATTCTGCTATTAAGTATAAATGATATAACACTCTAATTCTGCAGAGCAATTCACAAACTTTCATTTAAAAAGACTGTCTATGGAATTTCCTCAAATCAGTTATTTTGTTCATATAATCTAATTCCATACACATAGGATGATGAATCAATGAGAATCCATTTCTGAACAGAGAGGCAAAACTATGAATTTTAGATTAATTTACCAAACATCATTCTTCTTTCACAGTTAGTATACCAAGCAGCTTTTGGTAGTACACTAACAAGCAGTTTCAGGTTCATGTTTCATGCTAGTAGCATTTCTCAGGACATTAATGGTATTTTTGTGCTTTGACCCCTAAATTTTACCCAGTCACAACAGGCAATGGGAATCAGAAAGCAAAATGAAAAGTCCTGTTGCTTACTTACATGTGGTTGTACATCCAATAAACAAACTTTATTTTTAGCCAGAACACATCTGACTGAGTCTATACTGGTACCATAATAATTGTTTTTATATTCTCCATATTCAATGAACCTGTAATAGGAAAAATAAATGATTCCCTGTTTCATTTAGCAAGATCCTAAACCCAAAACTACACAGATAAGGTCCACATGGACTTCTACGGACTTTTGCTTTGTCAAAAAAAATACGGAAAACCAGGTTTTTACATTTGATGGAACAAGAGATTGGGAACTGGCAGTACACTAATGTTTCTATGATCCTTGCCTAAACCAATGTAATGGAATAAAAGAATGAATAAATTAAATGACAGAAACTACTGAAAGCTGTGTGTTATACAACATTGAAGTGTTCCATCTCCCACATATGAAGTGTTTTATCATAGTAATAATTGTTCCATTAGCTTTCATAAAAGTATACAAAATGTCTGCCAAAGAGGACACATGTCTACTTCAAGAAGTGACATTACCCTGGATAACAGTACATTGGCTTAATTCTGGACCAGCTGGTGCAGACACAACACACAGCTGACTTCATTCAATCTTCCTGTATGCAGCCATAGAAACATCTGACAGACCCCCCCCCCCCCAGTTCAGAAGTGGTCCCAAAGGCAGGACAGGAGAATGGCTGTTTAAAAACAAGAATTAGAAGTGCTACTGTATGCATCTATTGACTAAAGGCATAGTTGAGACTGACAGTATGAGTTGGTTCAGAGAACATAACAGAAACTCCAGAGTTGAGTGTGGCTTGTTACTGAACCATGGCTGTTTGTTGAAACATGACGTATCATGTCTGATTCCAGCTGCATAAACAACCCATGAATTATTAAGTATGGCTAGATGAGACAACATAATAACCCATGTTTCAACAACACTCATGATCCAATGAAAACTCATATTCAACTCATACTCAACCCTTGAATGTGAGTTATTATATTGTTTGAACCCAATGGAATTGCATTCATTATTTCTCTAAGTAGTCAGCAGTTGCAAATACGCAGGTATCTAAGATAATCTGAAAATACATTGTTGACCTCCCAAAATTCAAATTAAGGCTGTTTTAAAATTTGAGTATTTAAATGAGGAGACATTATTGAACTGATGCTTTCAGTAAGTCAAGGAGCGCTGTCAAGGACAGGACCTTTTAGAGAGCACTCATAAATAGGGTTGCCATGAATCAGAGATGATCTGACAACTGGGCACAAAATGACAAGACATTGTTATGACAAGAGTTCTTCGTTTTCACATACTTATTATTCTGTACATCTGTCTCAAACAAATGTTTGGAAATAAAAGTGTACTCAACACCATCACTTTCTTGACTTCTTCTTGCTCGTGTTGTGTCTGGTTTTATTGAGAAAGAATAAAAGAACAGTTTACAAGTAAATAAAAAAGTTCACATCTTATTTGGTCTTAAAATGCAAGTGAATGGTATGCAACATTCAGAAATTCATGGAAATAATTAAACTCAAGAACTCCCCCCATTCCTGCCCCATGACATTCACAAATACATCCAAATCAGGAATAAACTTGGGCTTTTGTACCTCCTCCTCCTTTCATCTTTCATTTACAGCATGGAGAAGTAATCCCATTGATTTTGCATGTGGGACTACAAAATGGATATTAACTCTCCTTTTTAGTGGTTTCAATATTCAGGAAAGGGGTGTAGAAGTATGCTAGCCTGAGACCCAGTCCTGACTTCATTGTGTGGAGTTCAGTTTTCTGCTTGCTTTTGTTTTCTGACTTGTCCTTCAAGTTGATCTGACTTATCTTTGTACTTACTGAAAATAATTTATTGTAATTACTTCCTGAAAACTAGTGTGCACTTCCACACTAACAAAACTTACTTCTCTTTTGTCACCTCTGGATAGTAAACCCAATAAAACTATTTTTGTTTGTGCACTGGCCAGTGTACAGCTTGGAATCTACTAAGCTAGTGAGTGATCTGCAATGCAGCAACAGAGGCGCAGATGGGAGTATAGGCCTGACCAGGGCAATTCTTGTTCATTATGCTGCTCAGTAGCGGGCTCTACTGTCTACACCATTTGTGGCATGGATGGACATCCCTACTCTACCATGTGGCTACAGCATCTTTCTACTCTGCCTCTTTTGCCCAGCTCCCACAGAAATTTTAAATGAGAAGTTCATTTTCAAGAATATTCAGCAATAAGCAGCAACAGCAAATCAACCTTATGCTTTAAAAAATGTTGAGGAAGCATAGCCAATTGATTTCAATTCTTAATCAAGGTGCAAGGAGTCTTAAAATGTGCTTGACATAGATGTGAATAACCAGGTTCAAACATGTTATTCTTATGCCAAACTGCAAAAATGAATTGATACAGTAAAGATTTACGTAACAGATTTTTTACTTACGTGGCACTGTTACGCCATAATGCTGAGTATCGCTGATTAACAATTTTCTTTTCAGTTCATTCAGCCCTACACCCACAGGCCCTGAAATTTAAATGCATTTTAATCAATTATTACCACAAAGTACTGTATGATGAGAAATCTGAAAGGCTGTTCTAGCTACATAAGACCAAAACAACATTTGTACTGGAACAACTCCAACACCACCAGTATTTGCTATGCAGATCTGAAGAAACTGCCAAAGGCTTGAATTCATGTGACCTGTGGATTTCACAAAATTTGGCCTGGCACTATCTGTGAAATGAACAGCATGTTGCCTGTTTTGTCAAAGACAAATTGACACACATAAATTAAAAAAATTACTCCTGACAGAGTAGGGAAGCTAAGCTTAGTACTCTCAAGGATCATGAGTATACAGTTACATGTCTATTAAATGGCAGCAACCCAGATGAATTATCAGTATCTCTCCAGTGTTTGGAATGGTTACTGATAGATTTAATGACTTTTCAGCAGCAGAAGGAAGAAAGCCTACTATAAAAGTATCACTGAAGCTCTGAACAGCCATGTAAACATTTTGATTTCCACTTATCTGCTGTCTTCCTTACAATGATTCTGAGAGACAGTCAAAGAGCATATGAGAAAGCCTATTGTATTGTTTTGCCTTGTAATCTGAACCATTCCCTTGGCAATGGTATCAGTGATTGTAACTGAATCAACACTACAAACAGGCTCCAGTGCTCTGAGTGCCTAGATGACCAGCAATCATGTCAAGGCATCTGTAACAGCTTACAACATCTGATTTTATTTTTCCTCTTGCTCTAAAACCCCTATCTGAAATAGAATTCAGTCAGCTGATTGGCCTGGATTGTTTCTTTTTGCTCCATGGACAGAATTCACCAGTTACACCGATATTATTAAAGGCATAATCCTATTTATGTTTAAGCAGAAAAATGGCCTACAACTCCCAGTATTTGCCAGTCAGTCATGCTGCTCTTTAACTGAAACTAAAAATAACATCAAATCAGTTTTTCAAATGTGTCTGGTCACTCCACACTCAAGAGGAATAAAAAAGCTTTTCTGAGTCTCCTGAACAACAGAAAAGAACGGGCCTGCCACTTTGCCATAGGGAAGCTTTCCACTGAATAGGTGACAATGTAGAAAAAGTTGCTTCTTTGTGCCTACCAACCTAGCTTTGGACTGCTCTGTGTAGTTAAGAGTAGGATTGTGTGGAATGAGCTAAGCCTGGGGGAGGCTCACAGAGATGGCCCTGCTTCCTCCCATTCTACTTTAATGGTTAGTCTTTTTTACTATCCCTTCTCCTACCACAGGGCCATTGGCCACTGAACACAATGTGAGAAAGAGCTCGAGAGAGTTAGAGGCAGCTGAAGACAACACCAGGTGCTTGCTCCTGCTCCAGCTGCATTTGCTTTGGTTTCAGTGCAGAAAGTTCAGCATATTCTCCTTGCATTTTATTGATGTTGGAACTGGCTTTGAGAACTTCTGTTGAAAACTGGGATAAATGTCCACTAAATAAACACATAAAGTAAGCCAAATGCTCCTTTAGTGTTGAGAGTTATTGGAAGAGAGGGAGATAGCACTGATACATAGTGGCAATGGGGAGGATTTCTAGCTGCAAGGGCCAGCAAGGGAGAACTGTATGTATCCCTCATAAAACTGGCATACAGAAAAGAGGCTGATGGTATCAGAATGTAAATTGACACTGGTAATTAATATGCTTTTTTTCCTGATAGCCTGAAGCATGTCAATCCCTTTCTTCAACAGCCCATATGATAAACTATCCCCTGATGCATGTCCCAAGATTTAAATGATCACTTATTTAAATGTCAATCAGCATTCTCACCATATTGTCAATATTTTGGTCTCATTCAGATAAGGGAAAGGGTTAACTGCAACCTTCCCTATGTCCTGACCCCAAACACAGTTACCTAATTTACCTCTTTGGGTCCATAGCTGCTGAGGGGATACCAGTTTTAAGGCATGTATGCAAACTGCAATCAGAGCAAGGTGTCTCCATTTTTCAGAAAAGACTCTGGCAATAAATCTAATGGTGGCAGATCCCCCACCATCCTCCTTTCCTACTCATCTGAAAAGGCTATTTGATTTTAGGGGCTGGGATGCCAAAACCACCTGCAAGGAGCAACTACAAGGCTCCAATTAGTGGGAGATGCAATAAAAATTGCAGGTGGTGGCAAAGTGGAATAACATGATGAGTTTGCATTAGAGAGAATGAAAGAAGAAAAAGTATGTTTCTTCAATTCTTCTCTGTGCTTATTCAATGAACAGAGATAGACTGGGGACATTTTGTGATGGATGAAGAAGGCCAATAGGACAGTTTGGGAATATGAAGATAGAACTACATGTTTCTATTAACAGAGTTAATAATTAATTTCAGGAAGAGATAAGAGGACCGAAATATGACAACAGAGGTTGAGGCAAAAGAAAGCTGCAGTGTTTCAACAACAACCTACACTGAACCTATACTCAACTTTTGAATGTTGGTTATTGTGTAGCCTGAACCCAGTCATTAAGGCTAATCAAGTTTTTTCTAAAAATAAATTATTTTTCTGCCAAATAAAGGGCACAAGCTAAAAGTGGGACTATATTATAGGGAATTTTCATTCTGTGAACTGGTAGGTTTTTTGCAGAAAAAAATAATGTAACATGAAATCTTGACTTGGCAGGCAATTTTTAATAGATTGTTACAGTAAATTATGTTTCAGTTACTATAGCTAAACATTTTTGCCACAACCAATTATGTGAATGTTTAATTATTTGTCTTTGTGTTTCCTGGCACTAACTTCAGAATTGTTTTTCACACCTTGTATTGGATTCTGCAACTAGTACATGTAACACTTTTAAATCTGATTATTTGCACTGTACCCAGTGCCAGTTTTTCTGCAATCAACCCAAGACATTTTTATGATATTGGCCAGACTTAAGCTGTTTCTAATACCAAGAGAAGAACATAAAAATTACAAAAGTCTGCAATACATTTGTGAGCTGCTTTTGTTAATGTAAATGCACTTTCTTCACTTGATTTATTATCACCAAAATAAAATGAAATTTCTAGATATTCCTCAGAGCCTACATATGTGATTTGCTATAAAAGTCTACTTATCACACTTTTTCACACAACTCTGTTGATATAGGTGTAAAATCAACTCAACCGTGTTATTACTTGCTGTGTGGAACCCACAATCTCTCTCTCACAGTAGTAGGTACCTGAACTTGTGCGTTAGGGAATGACAAAGCTGCTTATTAAAAACTGGTTTAAAGTGTTCCCTTGGATATGAGCTATAAAGAACAGCAGTTCTACAGTTCATAACAGTCCCTGATAGAGGGTCATATTTCTTCTGGTCTGCATTTTTTTTAATAATGGAAGAAATTCTACTAGTGGAGCATTAGACTATATATTACTGCAAAACAAAAATAGAGCACATGTACCAGAGAAATAGAAAAGTTTTATTTTCAAGGGAGTTTATATTTCTTAAAAGACCATTCTATGAAAAGGAAACACAACAACAAGTCTCTAAGGATGCAATTCTATGTATGTGTAGACATTCCTGACGGGAATTGTAGGCCCTTTTTTCCTATCTAAACATGCACAGGTTTGCATATTAAATAGATAATGTTATTTGAAGTTGCTGATAAGGCCCAGGAACGTCTGGAGCATTTTTTATGTAGCACTTTCTGAAAGTGATTGATCTCAAGCATATCATGGGCTTAGCTGCTGAAGCAAGTCAAATGTAAAACCAACTCAGTGCTGTTTGGGCCACCCTACAACTACAAGCAGCCACCAGTCATTGTTTCCCCATTTAGTTATGAGGAAGCAAATCTGGCTTTTTTGAAAGTGAAGACCTGGAATCTGGAAAAACAGATTGCTTATATATCACTTCAGTAAGGAAGGTTGGGCATATTAACTGTTATGAAGTTATGTTCCTTAGCTTCAGGATTTTTGTAAAATTGTGTATTATTAGCTATTGGTAAATAAAAATCTTAGCAAATTATTTCCTTGAGTCACAGAAATAGCATGAAAATGGCATTCTAAAGTTATAAGGGAAGTTCAACTGAATCGGTCTTTCCAGCACTAGCACAAAAGGTGCTCTGTGCCAAACACCTTAATAAAAAAGAGCTCTGCACCAAGATAGCAGGCCTGCTTGTGATTAACTATTCCTACAGCGAGATGTGACAATTTAAGAATGCAAAGAAAAGAAAGAGGACAACAACAAAATTTAATGATTATGACTGTAATATTTGCGTAACAGGAAAACTGAAGCCTAGTGTTTGCTTTTCCTTTTTACCAGCCTTAGCTGTGCAGGATCCAGCACAAACCAGGATTTTGAAGCTACCTTTACATTCTGGAGAAAGGGATCTCCAACACTAGTTCATTCTGTAAGTAAGGCTCTCCGCATGTGCAAGGGCTCTGTGCAGAGGAATGGAAATTTCTCTACATATAGAAAAACTGCATGAGGGAAAAGATATATGTGGGGCCTTTACCCTTTTCAGACACTAGGTATACAGCCAGTTTACGCCTTTCTCTTCAACTTGCAGGTCTGTGTTCATCCTACCACCTGCACTTGAGTACTCAGACCAGGAAAGAGAAAGCTGTAAATAGAGTCCTTTCCTACACAGCAGCATATCTACTCACTCCATTCCAAGCCTCACATTTGGAAGAGAGCATTTTCCAGACTTGTTCCAGGATACATTTTGTGCATCTTCATGTAATCAGGTCAAACATGGCTAAGTGGGTTTATGTCCTTAAGACATATATGCTGAATGGTCACTTTTCTCAGATATGCCTACAGAAGGCACAATGTGTAGCTATACTGGACAGCAGGGAACTTTGGCATCTGAAATACTATCACAGGAAGGCTATTCACTATCTTTCAAAGTGTATGTAGTAACAACAGTGACACATGCTCTGGTAACCTCCCGGTTGGATTACTGTAACGCGCTCTACATGGGGCTGCCCTTGAAAATGGTCCGGATACTTCAGTTGGTACAGAATAGAGCTGCCAGGCTGCTGACAGGGACCGGTTGTTATTCTCACATAATGCCGGTCCTCTACCAGCTCCACTGGCTTCCAGTTGAAGTCCAGGCCCAATTCAAGGTGCTGGTTTTGACCTATAAAGCCCTAAAAGGCTTGGGACTGGAATACCTGAAGGAACGTCTCCTTCCTTATACACCCTCATGCCCCTTAAGATCTGTGGGAGAGGCCCTTCTCCAAGAACCCTCCCTGAAGGAGGAAAAAGAACATCTACTCAGAGTAGGGCCTTCTCTGCAGTGGTGCCCAGATTGTGCAATGCGCTCCCCAGAGAGGTTTGCCTGGCGCAGAACCTATATTCTTTTCGGCACCAGGTCAAAACTTTTTTATTTAAGCGTTATTTTAAAAATTAGTATTTTAATGGTTTTAACAGTAGAATTTGATTTATTTACTTTTATTGGTTATATATTATCATATTGTGACACTGATTGTTTTATTGAATTCTGTTTTTAATGTTGTAACCCGTCCTGAGATGTTATACATAAAGGATGGCATATAAAAGTTTTAATTAATAAATACATTAAAAAATATGACACAGTGCTGGTTCCTATTATCTGCAGTGCAAACAAAAACAAGAAGCAGGTGCAAAGGGGGCTTTCAGGTAAAATGTGTGGTAAAGGGGTAAGGGGTAATTGAGAGGGAGATTCTGTGAGGTAAGTTTTGTTGAAAAAGGCAAGAAATTTGAGGTAAGTGTTGAAATAATGCACCCAGGTAAATTCCTAGGGCACTCAAAATGGTGGTTGAAAGTGGAATGAGAAAATGGCAGGAGTCTCACTTGTTTATACTAGGGAAAAGGGGATGGGGCTGTGCAGGCGCGGCACCCATATGTGTGTGATGCACACGGAGACCACAAAGAAAAACGAGAGTGTACACAATTTGTCCTTTGCAAGTGGCCATTATCTGTGGCCATTGGTTATGCTGGGATGTGCAGAAGAGTCACAGGAAGGCCAGCCTCCTGCCTTGGACCAGGCTGGAAGACAATCAGAAATGACAAGGCAGAGTGAAGTATGTGAATATCTTTCGCCAAGTGTCTGAAGTACAAAAAATGTTGTACTCCACATAGGGCTCTTTTCCTGAGTATCAGAACTATGCCAAAAAACAATCAATCAAAAACAACAATGAAAACCCACACAGCAAATAGGTTGCTGAGCGAGTTTCCTAAGCTGAAAAGCCCCTTCATATGGACTGGATTCAATGTTATTTCTCTTGAACAAGTTTTCAGTGCTATTGCTGATTATGTGACCACAGCTTTGGTTCCAAGAGTCTTAACAATTTATAGAGAATAAATCTAATTAAGCAAACTTCTAGTTACCTTGACAGGTTCCCAGAACCCCCCTTTGTCTGGCTCCACAGACATGTGTTTTTTCTGATACTGAGGATGACTCAGCTCTTATATTCAACTATTTATACACAAATGCCATCAATTATATTTTGATCAGTTATTGATACCAAGCAAATGTACAGACAACAGTTATAGAAAGAAGTAGATACTGTGGTGTTTGTTGACAAAAGTTACAATAGAAAAGGAAAACAAGCCAAAATGCAGTGCAAACTCTGCTGATACAGACGGCTGCCAAAAGAGATTACTCCCTGCCATGAAGTAACTCCAAGAAGTAACTTTCCTCATTTGTATAATTATATACTTGAAGTTGACTTCAGTGGCTCTGCTCTCTGATCTGCCCTTGCATGAAATCAGACGGGTGAGTTCACAAGACAGAGGCTTTTTGGTGTTGGCAATTAAGACTCAGAAGTAGCTTCCCATGACAATTCTCTGGGCCCTTCTCTTGTTTTCAGATATCTATCAAACATGCCTGAAATGTGCAGCTTGCTTTTAGCGTATGACTTCTGAACATGCTAATTTGTTGCATTCTGCTATCTAAATATTTGCTTTTATTGCTGCATTTGGTGCCATTTTAAAACATTTGCTTTCAGAAAATGCATGTTTTTATTTTCGCAAGCTGCTGTTTTTAAAAACACAAAACTAGCTGCCTAGAGATCCTGTCTGAATATAAGATGGGATATAAGTGCTTCAAATAAAGAAATAATAAATAAAACTGAGGTATAGATCATAACAAATGAATAAAACATAAAGATGTTTTAGTTGGCATAAAATATTTCTGACATAAGTAAAACAGTTGCTGTTTTGCAAGATCAAAAATCTATAATAAATATGGTAATATACTTTCACGGAATAACGGAAAGAAAACTAGAACAATACTTTTAAACCTCTGTCTTCTTATTTGACCAAACTTCAGGAATTCAGGACTTTATTTTTTTTAACTTACCAACTAAGACAACAAGTCTGTATTTCTCATTAGGCTGTCGTTTATACTTCGCTACTTCTTCATAGGTTGGAACATCTGCTGTATCATACTGATCACTCTTCTTGCACTCATACATTGTCTTGTTAGTTTTTCTATCTTTTCTGCTTAGACGAAAACTCCTCCTAAAACCAGCTGCAGTTACAAGATTTAAAAAAAGGAACAAGTGTTAATGTCAAAAGTAATACATGGCAGCCCATCTAGAGCACATGCTCCTTCATATGGGCAGCTCAGCTTTTTCCTTTTCTTCTTTACACATCTATATAAAATATATAGACCAGGACTGAAATCCATCTGCAACTCCAGATATACTTGCTTTAGCTTATGCAAAGACATATATTAGTGAAATGGAATTCTTTGGCTTTTTCTTCTTTGATCCTTATGGCCAAATGACAAGCTACCTTTGAAAGCACCTTATGTTTTAAAAGGAAGGTGGCCTATTTATGTTACTACATATTTTTTTTCTCTGAAGTGCCAATTTCAAGAAGCATGTACTGCAGGTGAAAATCAGGCACTGAGTTTTACAAGAATTCTTTAAAAAAAATCTTACTGGTATAGTAGGGATTGGATACCTGTTGAACAAGGAGAACAGGAAAATGTCTATGTATTTAAACTTATCCATGCAGCCCTGAGGCCTGCAAAAATTGTTTAATACCCATTCTCCAGCTACCCATAATTTTAATAAGTGCTTGCAGGATCAAAAGACGACTCTCACAGGATGCAACTTGTCCATTATTCACCTACACATGTTCTCAATTATAGCTGAGATCATATATTTGACAATATTGGTTCAAACAAAGTCAATCTAGTCATGTACATTACATTTCTTTAAAAATTAGTAATTTCAGATTTTTGAATTATATTAAAAATCAAATGTGACACATCACAGCTAAAAGCTTAGTTCTGATAACAAAAACAGTATGAGAAATGCATTAAATGTGATATAAAATAAAAGAGAACTAAGGACAGAACAAGTAAGTTTTGAAAAGTAAAAAAAAAAAAAAGCTAGGCAAACGTTACAGTATTCAATATAAATAATGTTCAATTATCCAGCTTAGTCATTTTTAAACCTATTATTCATTACATTTGGCTCCTGTAGTGATGTGAAGACAAGTGTGCAGTTTTGTCTTGATAACTATGTGAGATGAGTTAGGCTGACAGCAAAGGCCCCCCAGGGAGTCTTGCTACTCAGTGGGAATTTGAATCTTGATTTCAGTGTCCAACTCAGTTCTCTATTCATTATTCACAATGAATAATTATGAACTCCACAATATTGAAAGAGGTTCAGGAAAATAGAATTATAAGAATGAGTATCAGAATACATACTTGGTATCCTGAGGATTTGCTAACAGTTTTATTCATGATGCAGCTCTTACTTAGGTCTCATCTAGATACATGTACATAAAGATGGGAAGAAATAAAGGTAAACATGCACTCTCTAACATGTGAGTGGTACTGCTCCCCTGGAGGCAGTGGAAAGATTGGTGGATGGTTGTTTTGAATTAGTAGAGCAATAGACCTAATATAAAGTAAAAGGCCTGGGGTGCTAGAGTTGCCATGTAAGAGGACTGGGGATGGCAGCCTGAAAAAGCTGGGAGACAACTGCTCTAACAGGCAAATCAGAACGAGAGATTACAGCAGTTCAGCTACACGGTTTAGCATTATTTGGGGGTGGGAGCCAGGGCATGACAACAGTGATTGACACTGGTAAGATTTATTGTGGAATGTAGCCAAGATAACTGAAAAGTTGAAGCTTACAGCCAAGAAAATCACCACCAACAACAGAAAATTTGTTTAAATATTAAAAGCTAACAAAAGGCTTGCAATTTTGATGGGCAGAATGTTTACAGAAGGAGAATGAGCATATTGTACAGCTCTTGCATTCTGAGCATGGACATACTGCCCCCCCACCACAACCTTGGGAGCCCAGGCCATTCAGTGTCAGTGTTGGCTGGGAGGTGGTAGCCCCACTCAGCATCCTTGTGTCTGAGAACGAAAGAAGGTTTTGCTTTCCTTCTACTGTATTCAAAATTGTGCCAAGCTGAAAATGTTCATCCAGTTCCTTGGATCCATTACTAAGTCACAAAAGTGGGGAATTCCAGTGATCCTTTTTAGTGGAGGAAGCAAAATTCTTTAATAAAAAAGCAGGAGGAACAGGAGTTTACTAGACAAAGTGAAGTAGCAGTGACCACCCCCTGTTCTTTTTAAAAAGTTTTATCTGTCAACTACTGCAGGCAAGATGGGAAATTCAATTGGCAGTCTACTGGACACCATTGTTCCCATAATGACTTGTGTTGCAGTAATATCATCTCATGAATTTAAGATTAAAAAGAAGGAAAAAATGTTTACTGTTTTTCCCGACTCAACAATGCTTAAAAGATTTTATTTCCATCCAGTCCTGAATTTCTCTCTCTTCCTTTGGTTTGCCTCTATTTTCCAGAAAATAGAAATGCTGGAAAATATTAAGATTCAGCTCTATTTCTAAAACACATAGTTGAGGGAAAGCAGAATCTCTTCCTGACTTTGTCCCACAAAATACCACGATAGTCACTGAAAATTAAGCCAGGTCCTGTGTGTAGAAATCTCATCCTTGATACCGTTTTTTAGTCATACTGTTGTGAGAAATTTTACAGAATATTTAGCAAGTTTCTTCTTTTCAGTTTAGCAATTCACTTAGGTTTTAAATAATGCCTTGTGAATAAGTCAGTTGTTATGAATATATGAGGAGAAATGAACATTTTCTAGCTCTGGGACATTTACAGATTGGACCTCAAGAATCCTTAGACTCATGCTTCTATTTAACCAGAGAATATCTGCCATTATTATCATAGCAAAGATGCTAATAGAGAGCTAAGTGCCAAAAATTATACATCGATAGCAGCTGCATATTTTTGGCCTTTCACGGCAAAATGTTTTTGAGTAAATGTTGTAGGACAGCCTTCTCCAACCTTGTGCTTTTCAGACATGTTTGGACTGCAACAACCAGAATTCCCAGTCAATAGGCCTGCTAGATGGGAATTCTGGGAGTTGTGGGCCAAATGCCTCTGAAGGCTACCAGGCTGGGGAATGCTGTTGTAGAACACTGCATTCAGATCACAAAAAAACAAAAAACTGCATTAATATGACTGGTTACAAAAACATGGAAAGCTAGAACAAACTGCTGTAATATTCAAGGCTGCTGAAGTTAGACATATTAGTCCTATGAAAATAATAATAGCTCTCAAATTGGAAGCTGTTGCTTTCAAATGTTGTATGCACTTTGTCTTCTGTATGGATGTGAAAATATAGATGTCCCTGAAATTCCATGTTTTGATATATGTAAGTATTTTTTGTCAAATTGCATTCAAATTGTTTTGTATGGACAGATAAATGAACAAAGTCCTCACAATCTAAAAATGAAGATACAAATTAAAAGTTACAGTTTGACACAGATTATGGATATGGAGTAGGTTCTCAATTTAAAAAGTTAAATGGTAAAGATATTGTTACACATTTCTGCAGACTGTCACAAGTTAATTCCTGAAGTTATGAAGGTTAGGATATTAACAGTATTTTAAAAGCTTGCACTGAAGTCTGATAGTGCTAGTTTTAGGATTCTGCTCTAAATCAGAATTAAATTTTGTCTAGACCACCTTGCTTTAGAATTCTTAACATGGTTTACAGTAATCCAAATCTGATTATAATGCATCCACATTCATATCCATTTCTGCTTCCACTGGGTATTATTTGCATGGAGCTTTCAAGTCTCATGCAACAATGAAGCATTGGGCTGGATGACATGCTATAATGTTGCTCTCATGGAAGTTCGGATATAAGATTTGGGATAGTTCCTCAAGTATTATTAGCATGGGCTTGTATGATTGAGAATACCTTGGGCCCAAACCAAACCAAAAAAACTGATGAATGCTCACAGATGATTGTGAGCTGCACAACCCCCATTTCTGATTCATGATTAGAGTACTTAGCATAGGGGTGCTATGCTCAGCAGCATCTTGTGCCACAACAGAGCACTGTGATAAACTTAGAGGGGTGGCCTTCTGCACTGGCTGCTGTCCTTGAGGTTTTATTAGATGATTTGAAGCATCTCAAGACTTAGTTTGGTGGGCCCTGCGCCCCAGTTCTTCAGTCACTTATGCATATTTAAGTGCCATGACATGCTTGCTTAACAGTGGTGCACTGGGCTGGAAGCAATGGTGTGGCAACTTAAGAGGATATGGTCCTCTTGAGTGTGGGTGACCACAAAAAGTACTTTGAGCACATTAAGAAGGTTGCTTCACCTTGCTACATGGCAGAGGCAGCTCTAAGTCCGATTCATATAAATTGTGATTTGCTGCAGGTCCAACAGTTGTTTTACTTCTCTTGGGATTTAGGTCTAGCAGCTGTTTTACTGCTCTTGGAATGCAGACTTCCCTAAAAATCACATTCAGTGATATTCATCAACAATGATTACAATTCTTGTCCAGGCTCACGAACTAAAAAAATAATATTTCTTAGTCTCTAGTCCCACCCACCCACTCTGATCGCCTACCTTGTGCTGTTTTTTCCCTCTATTGGTGTGGTGCCTTCCCAATGCCCGGCTGCAGCTCTGGAGTATCAGCAGCAGCAGGGCATCACTATCTCCAGTCTGGACTTTGGAGACAGGCGTGCTTGGGACTCCTGCCCAGTCACTGGATGTTGCTGGAGAGGCGCTCTGAAATAGTAGCATGTGCCTTCTACTGTATGTGCAGTGAGGGAGGGTCAGAGGTGTGTGTATGTGGGAGGTGCGCTTGCACATTGGTAAGAGTTGAGCAGCAACAGTGCTACTCTGAAGGGTAGGCAGTTGCTTTGCAGAACAGCAGGAAACAAAAGGCAGCTGGTTGAGGCCACACCCAAAGGAGTGTGCCAACCAACTGGGGAGAGGCAGGTGGGACAGGCAAGAGCATTGCATGCTGGGACTAATTTTCAGCCACAGCCCCTGATGGGATATGTGCTGCCATTTGGAGGGAAGATGTTGACACACAGAAACTACTCATGAGTAGCTACCTCACAAATATGTGACTACAGAACTCGAGGTAAGAAAAGTAGCTTTGTGGTATCACTTAGCAATAGGTGTGAACAGCTCCACCATCTACCCTCAGGTTTACAATCAAGAGGAC